ACACACAAACAAAAAGTATAAAAGGAAATATATATATTTTTTGCTTTATAACAATCACAAACAACCTATCATATATAATATGTTCGAAAATAATAATTTAAATGTAAAATGTAAGAAGCAAAACTGGATGCAATGTCAAATACACAAATATGCACGATTAATTTCAATGGTAAAATCACAAATCAATTTAATATATAACTTTTATGATCAGTTAGAACAGTCCTTAACTGTAGGTCTGGAAACCATACAAATATATGACAAAATGCAAATGTTTCTTTCGGTAAAGGGTATGTCATGTAAAAATGTGACAGTGCATTCTGGAATGTACAATGCAGATTTAACATGAACAGCACTGCCCTCAGGTAAAAGCACATTGTGTAATCCGAACTTTGACTGAAAAACAAAAAATCCCTATTTTTTAAATGCCAAATCAGTTTGCTTTTCGCAAAGTAAAGGTAATCCTTAAACTAGTTTAGCCTCTTTCAGTAGAAAACTGTTGCCTGTAAAGTAACTTAAATGCCAATGCACTTCACACAGTATTAGAAGAATGTTTCTGCCTAACCTTGACAGGAAATTTATAATCATATCTAATATATCACAAGCTGAGTCATGGTGTCACAACACTAGAACTCAGAATCCTATCATTACTTGAAATCAAAGTCTTCACAAAACAACACATTCACGCCATTTTGCGTGTCCAAAAACACTTTGTATCATCTTGATGTTTTGATGTGGGTTTTTTGAATGGTCTTTTGGGTAGGTCCACACTTGGGTCTTTTTTAGGCTACAATGCAGCACGTCATTGTTTTTTTTTGTTTTTTTACATCTGTCATCTGCAGTTCTCAGACACTTACAGAGCTTTGTAATTTACACAACATAAACACAGCCTTTTGTGACCAAAGATACTTATCATTTCACTGTAAATGCTGCCGTCATTGTCACATGGGGAACTAGTTTTTTTATCTTTTCGTTCCTAGAACAGAATCATCTGAAGATAAAAAAAAAA